CAAACCTGCATCCAGTCACCAGCTCACCCGCATGGAGTGCACAAGGTATTGACCTTTAAAATAATATCCTGCAGTTATCTTGAACATCGTTCTCTCCCTCCGTGTGGGTGTAAAGGCATTCATTTGTGGATGTCAACAGTGAAAAAAAACCACACCCAAATTTTGATAATTTTCTTTTGGAAGTTTCTGGAAATATCTAGGTGTCTCTGAAGAGCCCTGCCGTGTGGGGAAGAAAACCAGGGTCAAACTAAGATAAGTCAGGCTCGGGTATGCTCAGACTGCTTTATTCTATGCTCCTTTCGTCCATGGGTTCAAGGCCCCTTGGGATTAGGGTACTCATAGCTATGTTTCCAGCCTCCATTCCCCCGTTCTTGGATAGCTCCTGCCTTGGGCCTCATTTTTAACTGGAGACCTTCCTTGTAAGATCTTCCTTGTAGGGGACCCAGGAACCTCTTCTAAATTTGAAACTTATGGTTGCATAAAGAACTCTTCCCAAGGGGGACAACACAAAAGAGACTCATAAATATGGAGAACAAACTGAGGGCTGCTGGAGGGGTTGTGGGAGGGGGATGGGCTAAGGGGATGGGCTAAATGGGTAAGGGGCATTAAGGACTCTACCCCTGAAATCATTGCTTCACTATATACTAACTAATTTGGATGTAAATTTCAAAAAAAAAAATAATAATAATAATAAATAAATAAATAAATAAACAAAGTAAACCTATAAAAAAAAAAACTCCCCCCTCACCCAACCCCCCCCCCCCGACCCCCCCCACCCCCAACCCCACCCCAGCGCCTCTCTCAAGGTCTGCTCCCTTCTCTGTGGCATTTCTGGCCACCTGTTAGTTTGGGACTAGCTAGCTAGGCAGTTTAGGTCAGGGCCGGGTTGCTTGGTTTCCGCCTGGGTTCCTTAGCTGGGTCAGGACGGCTGCCACAAGGGGGCACCATGAGTCCTGTTCTGGGGCTGACAGTGGCTGCTGACCTTGAGGGAAGCCCTAAGTGGTGTTGCAGCTCCACACACCGCCTCCCTCACCCCGGGCCCCCCCACGCCCGTGCCCTTCGATGCCCCCTCCCTCGAGTCAGCTCTATCTACCCACCCCCTTATCTATCCTCTTGGCCCTGCCTATGAGGTGACCAGGTTGACTCAGTTTTGGGTTCTCCCCATGCAGAAACATTTGCAAGTGAAGTGAGCCATCATCTGTCTTGGGTCTTTAAATGTCTCACGTCTTCGCGTTTGGGGAGACTTTCTGGGTGGAGATGCATCCTTCTGAGACCCTCAGAGCTCACCGGAACCCTCCCATTCTTGGCTCCGCCCTGTGGGATGAAGGGCTGGGTGGCTGCCGGAGGTGAGAAGCTGCCCACAGTTCACCTGCTCTACTTGGTGGGATATGCACCTTTTCTTCTGGCTGGTGACCTCTCACCCCAAATGTAACCTTGAGACGCCTCATGGCTCAGCAGCCCCGATGCTGCACTACAATTTAGTTTCCCATTGGCCCAGGGGAGACACTGTTCCTCATCCTTCCATCTGTCTCTTTAGATGGTACAGGCGGTCACTGTCCAGTGTTACAAGCACAGTCTCGGAGCACAGTTCCCAAGCTCAGCACCCATGACTTTCCAGGTCTCCTGAGATGAGAGTGTTTGCCAAGGGGGCAGAGCTGGCTCATGCTACCTGAGGCTGACACCATAAGGGGCCGCTGGGAGAGAAGAGAGGTCGGCCGGTGGGAATCTGGGATAGAAGTAAAGGAGGAATCAAGGAAGGAGAGCAAAGCGAATCAGTACACATGACTCAACGCCAAAAGGATTCTGCAATCAGAATCTTTTGGTGGGGCGGCTGAGCGGCTCGATCGGTGAAGTGTCCATCTCTCGATTTTGGCTCAGGTCACCATCTCCCGGTTGGTGAGTTTGAGCCCTGCATCGGTTCTCTCTCTCCCTCTGCCCCTCCCCTGCGTGCACGTGCATGTGCATGCACACTCTCCCAAAATAAATCGATTTAAAAGAAAAAAGAATTTTGGGGAAGCACGACCTTCAGGCATCAAAAGATCCCAAGTCAAAGGAAGAGTAAATTATCTTCCTCAAAGCCTGAGCCAGAAAAGACATCTGGGTTCTCTGATAATTAGAAAGTCTGTTTCCAGAATATTCTTTTGCCCTAGCATTCCAGGAATGGAAGTTGTACTGAATCTCAAGGTTTCAGACATAAGCCATTGCACTGTGTGTCCCTTAATATCTGTACTTCTCCTGCTGGGGTAGATGTGAGGGGCCAGAAGACCACAGAACAAACATGGTACTCCTTCCCAGAGCGGAAATGCCATTTAAAGATTTGGAAAGTAAAATATTACTCAAAAGCTTGAAACACAATTATATAATTAAATAGAATGCAACATTCATAGATTTTAAAAATTCAAACTCTCGAAAATAAAGGGCTGCAAGACATACTTTGGTTGAAAGGCTTGAAGACGCTACCTTTCCTAACTTGCTGTGTGGTGTTGGACACATTTCTTCACCTCTCTGAGCCTCAGTTTCCTCAACTGTAGAACATGAGAGATTGGGCTCCGTGATTTCCAAAGCCTCAGGCTTTTCCCTCCTATGCTTGTCTTTTTATTAACTTTACTCATCCCTTATGTATCAGTCAGGGTCCTCTGGAGAAATAGGACCAATTCATATTTCATATTCATTCAAGAAATTGGTTCATGTGATTTTCCCAAGCCTGAAATCTGTGGGGCAGCCACACAGTCCGGAAACTCAGTCAGGAACTTTCGAGGCAGAGTTTATTATTCTTCCAGAAACCTCAGTTTGTGCTTTTAAGTCTTTCAACTGATAGCACAAGGCCCACCCACATTTTTGAGAATGACTTCCTTTACACAAAGTCATCTGATTGTAGATATAAACCACATCTACAAAACATGTTCAGATCAATACCTAGATTAAATAACTCAGTGTTAGAGTGTATTAAGTTGACACATAACACTAGCTGCCATACCTGTGATACACATTTCCAAGCAGGACCAGTTGGTGCTCAGAAGGACGCTAAGCTTGGGGAGCCTGGGTGGCTCAGTCGGTTAAGTGTCCAGTTTGACTCAGGTCATGATCTCACAGTTCGTGGGTTCTAGTCCTGAGCCAGGCTCTGTACTGACAGCTCAGAGTCTGGAGCCTGCTTCAGAATCTATGTTTCCCTCTCTGCTCCTCCCTTGCTCGTGCTCTGTCTCTCTCTCAAAATTGAATAAATATTTAAAAAATATTTTTTAAAAAAGGATGCTAAGTTTAATTTAATTCTCTGCTGTCAAGAGACCTGTTGAAATTTTTTAATTGTTTTGCTCTGGGACCTGTGAACTATATAATCGGTCCTGCTGAAGGGATCGTTCTGGCTCTCATAGTCATGAACTTGGTTCTGGCTGAAGTAACCTCCCTGAGGAAGTCCAAGTGCCCTGGCCGGGTCTTCATGACTGTGCCACTCCCCTGACACTTCTTATCTCTGCTGTTGCTATTTAATGTCCTATGCATGTTAATTTTGTTTCCCTGAACTAGAATATAAATTTCTTCATTGTTTCTGGAATAAGAAATATAGCACATAAAGTTTACCGTTTTGTGTTATTGTTTTATTATTAAGTCTACAGTTCAGTGGCATTATCAAGCACATCCCCATTGTCATGCACCCAGCACCAGCATCCAGACTTTTTAAAAAAAAATTTTTTTTCAACATTTATTTATTTTTGGGACAGAGAGAGACAGAGCATGAACGGGGGAGGGGCAGAGAGAGAGGGAGACACAGAATCGGAAACAGGCTCCAGGCTCTGAGCCATCAGCCCAGAGCCTGACGCGGGGCTCGAACTCCCGGACCGCGAGATCGTGACCTGGCTGAAGTCGGACGCTTAACCGACTGCGCCACCCAGGCGCCCCGCATCCAGACTTTTTAATGGTCTGGAACTGAAACTCTGTCCCCATTAAATATGAACTCCCTGTTCTCTCTCCCCCGCCCCTGGCAACCACCATTCTACCCTCTGTCTCTATGAAGTTGACTACTCTAGGTACCATCTAAGTGGAATCATACAGTGTTTCTTTTTGTGGCTGGTGTATTTCATTTAGCACGATGCCCTCAGGGTTCACCCACGTAGCATAGGTCAAAGTTTCCTTCCTTTTCCAGGCTGAGCAATATTCCATTGCACGTATGTTACGCACTCATTCCTTCATTCATCTAGGGGCAGTTGTGTTGTTTCCACCTTTAGACAATTGTGGATAATGCTGCTATGAACATGGAGTACAAATACCTCTTCAAGGCCCGACTTTCAGTCCTGGGCATATACCCGGAAGTGGAATTGCTGGATCATATGATAATTCTATGTTTAATTTTTTGAGGACCCACCATACTGTTTTCCAGAATGGACGCACCATGTTACATTCCTACCAACGATGTGCAACAGTTTCACTTTCTCCACCTCCTTGCCAACACTTGTTATTTTTTGGAGGTTTTTTTGGTTTTGTTTGTTTGTTTTAACAACAGTGACCCTAATGGGTGTGGTGATATCTCATTGAGGTTTTATTTGCACTTCCTTAATGATTAGGGAATGAACTAATCATTCCTTAATGATTAGTGATGTGGAGCATCTTTTCATGTGCTTATTGGCCATCTGGATATCTTCTTTGGGGAAATGTCGACTCAAGTCCTTTGCCCATTCAAACATCTGTTGTTGTTGTTGTTGTTGTTGAGTTGTTAAGAGCTCCTCACATACCATGGATATTATCCTTTTATGAGATATGAGATTAGCATATAAGTTTCTTGAGGTCAGAAACCTGTCCTAATGTTCTCTTAATCCCCCCAAGCACTTGACAACGCTCACAAAACAATGATCACAAAGTGTGGTAGGTCAGAGGCAAGTTGAAACTAAGTTTGCAAAAGGAATGGGAAGAACATTTTCCAGGCAGGCTCAAGACCCATGAGCTCTGGAGGGAAGCCAGGAAATTAGGGAGCCTCCTGTTACCTGGAGATGAAGAGGAGGGCGCAGAGAGTGAATCAATTCTTGGTCTTTATTTAAAAGAAGGCAAAGAGAGTCCCACTCCCCAGACATCCCCTGAAGCAGCCATGCTTGAAGGTCAGGTGATAGGAGGTCACGGGGACGGGGAGAAACTGGGAGAGGGCAGTCCCAGGGCAGGTGGGCACACACCTGGGCATCTGAAAAACCCTCAAGGGTGACAGGAGGCAGGACACAGTACACAAGACTGCTGTGCCCAGACACACGTTAACGGGGGCCCTGGAGTCACAGACAACTAGCCGGCAGGTGGAAGCTGTGAATGACCGAAGGCCTGCCCTCTTCAAGAAACATAACATTTCAGGGTTTCTCTATTTCCTGGGAAAGAATGTGGTGACTGTAGGTTCGGGGAAGGGGGCTGCCGCAAGGAGATGTAGAGATTTGGGTGCTCTTCCTTGCATGGGGTTGTTGCAGGGATAAAGGAAGGAAGAGAGTGGGGAGCGCTGCCTAGATCCAGGCTCACGGCTGTGGGTGGGAGCAGCTGTGGGTGCCGTGGCAGAGGGCCCGCGGAAAGAGGTCTGCTCCCCATCGGGCCAGTGGGGACATTGAACCTTCAACCTCCTGGAGGTGGACCTGAGGGACGGGATGGGGTTCGCTCGATTTATTCTGTTTCTGCTTCAGTAGAACACCTTCTCCAGATACGCATTCAGGAACATCCCAGTAGGGTCCAGCTTTTCTCGGATGGCACAGAACTTTGAAAAGGCTGGATACATTTTCTCAAAGTCCTTCCGGGTACAGTTGTGGGCCTGTGGAAGCAACCAGACACAACAGACCTTGTTCCCTAGAGCTGACGTTTCAGTGGGGCTGCAAACAGGCAGCCTTGTGTCTGTATGCCTGCACACGTGACCCTCCCATCCCCAGGCACACACACGCGTGAATGCGCACACATGTATCCACTTACCCGCACACACATGCATGCATACAAAATGCATGTACCCATACCTACACATGCATGTGTATGTGTGCACACATATGTTTGCACACACAAGCATGCATGCGAGTACACACATAATGTAAAGACCCAAACAGAAGAGAGGAAGTTCTTGGAAGGTAAAGACAGAAGGTGTTACAGCATTAACAGTAAACTCTGGATTCCCTTTACCACCCCACAGCGTGACAGTGGAGAGGGCTCTGCCCCCAATTCTATTGCTAACTAGTAAGTCCCATCACTTCTGAAGACTCTTAGTTTCCCTATCTGTTAAAGGGGCTCACTGACTCCTGCCTTACCCTGCTCACAGAGGTTTCCATGAGAATCGAATAAAATGAGAGATGGGAAATTTCTCTGAAAACTCTCAGGGAGACTTCACGGAATACAATCACTGAGCTATTGGAACATGAATGTTGGGGGAAGCTGGGCCTGGGTCAGCTTCCTTCCTGTGACTTGCTTAGCCCTTGGAGCCCAACTTCTGAGCCTTGGTCAGGCAGACGAACAGGGAAGAGAGGCGCCCTCTGGTGGGCCCCAAGCTCACAGCAGCTGCCAGGCTGATGGCCCTGTGAGCCACTCCCTGGCAAATCCTACCTTGGCCCAGTGGGGCCTGCCCCCGACCTTCTTCATGATGGTCTCGTAGGCCAGCCAGTAGTCCAGCCGTGGTACGTCCTTGCCATAGGGCCTGGTGGGGAGCAGAAGGAGGTAAGGCCCTGTCCCTGCCCTGAGCCCAACGCAGGGCTCAGACTCACGAACCATGAGATCACGACCTGAGCCGAAATCAAGAGTCAGGTGCTTAACTGACTGAGCCACCCAGGGGCCCCCTTCTCTGCTTAACTTAAACCTGGCTTCAGAATCCTTTTCAACACAGCATTTCAGGCTGTCCGAACCATCAACTAGGGTAGGCACATGAGACGGCATGCAATTGCCGTTGCCTGACATCCATCTCACAAAGGGTGGCTATTCACATGAACATTACCTATGAATTAATATGAATTATTGTAGTACTATTGGGGAGGAAGTGGGAGTTGTAGGAACGCAAGGAAGAGAGACTATTTTCCGCTGCCAGGATCAAGGAAGTCTCGCTAGAGAGGGCAGCATCTGAACTGGCCTTGAAGGAGGGTCTTTCTCAGCTGAGGGGCTGCCTCCCCCAGCCCCACCGCTCCCAGCGAGCCAGTCACCTGTACATGATGATGTTCATGTAGCAGCTGTCCCTCTGGAAGCAGGGGCTCAGCAGGATATCATCCCCCCGGGTGAAGCGCACCTCCACGGGAAAGTGGGCCACCATCTTGGGGTGGGTCTCCAGCACTGCCTTCAGTTCCAGCAGCGCCTCCTTGGTCTTCTCTCTGCACACAGCCCAGGGGGGCAGAACCCGGGCCTCGGGAAAGGGCCTCTGGGAGCCATCACACGAGGCTCTGCATGCCTGCCCCCCTCCCCCAGGGACGGGGGGGGGGGGCTCCCGGCTTCTAGGAGGCCCACGCTTAGCGGTTGCTCTCAAAGTCCTCCGCGTGGAAATGGAGCCTCTGAGTGTCTCCGCTGGAGAGCTGCCTCCTGCTCCTGGGCCTGCCCTGGGCCCCCCACCCAGTCAGGGGCTCCTCTCAGGTGTCCGGCCCCAGCTGCCCCCCACCCCGGGCCTCTTCCTTTTCTGACAGAGTAAAATCAGTCTGATTCCAACACTTGCGCGTGTTCTAATATTCCCGCTGGGAGAGTGGTGCCCCAGCCCTTGAACACTGTAACAGAGGTCTCGCCTAAGCCCTGGGCACCGCTTCCCCCCTGTTCCTGGAGAGAGACAGAGAGGGGACCATTCAGAGAGAAAGCTGGGGCTACAGACCTCACCTAGGTTCTTACCTGGGCTGCCGCCCAAGGCAGAGTCCCGGCCCCTGGCATGCTAGGTGGGCGCCGCCCCTCGAGGGACTGAATGCAGGGGACAGCTCTCCAGAGCAACTAGAAGCCGGGCAGGAAGCCCCACACTCCGCGCCCGAGCCTGTCGTGACCCACCTCTGGGCTGCTGTCCCCGTAGACGTAGAACAGCTTGGCACAAGGGTGCCGGAAGGGGGCTCAGCCTCCAGTTTGCCCCCTACTCATAATGGATAGGTAGGACCAGGAGCCTGGTTGGCAGAGCACGCATCAGGGCTGCGTGGGGCACCCTTGAAGGGGGTCCCTTGGACACTGACCCCGCCCCCTGCAGCCCGGCCGGCGCGCCCCCTACCTGGGGATGGCCCAGTCCTGGACGTGCTGCTTGAAGCGGCACTCATAGGTGAAGATCTCGTGGCTGAGGTTGCTGCTTTCCCTCTTCCTCGTGAACAGGAGCCAGAAGAAGAAGCGATTGATCCAGCCCACGAGGCCTGGCAGGAAGGAACTGGAGGGGGCGGGGCAGAGGGATGATCAGTAATCATACAATCCAGCACTTAGTGAGTGCCGCCTGTGTGCTTACAAACCTTGTGGGGGGAGCGGGGGGGCGGGGGGCGGCAGGTTCTGTCCAAACCTCTGCCACTCCCGCCTATCTGCGGCTTGGAAACCTTCCTGGGGATGCAGATAGCATTCCAAATCACCCTCCCAACACTTCCAGAAGCCACTTCTGGATCGCCCCCGTGCATGCCACTACCCTCCTGGTGAGGGCTAGCTTGTTTTCAGTGTCTGGGGTTTTTTCCTTCTTAATTGTGGTAAAAAAAAAATTTGCCTAACATTAAATTTGCCATCTTAGCCATTTTTAAGTATGAGGTTTAGCACTAAGTGTTACGTATATCCACGTTGCTGTGCAAGGAATCCCCAGAATCTCACAAAGCGAAACTCTGTCCCCAGTAGACAAGTCCCCATTCCCCTGCTCCCCCTGCCAGCCCCTGGAGACCCCGATTCTACTATCTGTCTCTATGAATGTGACTGCTCTGGGGGCCTCGCGGAAGTGGAATCACACAGTATTTGCCTTTTGTGACTGGCTTATGTCACTTAGCATAATGGCCTTAAGGTTCATCCATGTTGTAGCCTGTGCCAGAATTTCCTTCCTTTTTAAGGCCAAGTAAGAGGCCATTATAAACGTAGACCTCATTTGGTTTATCCACTCCTGCACTGGACACTTGGGCTTGCCTCCACCTTTTGGCTATTAAGAATAATGCTGCTGTGAACATGGGTGTGTAAATATGTCTTTAAGACCCTGCTCTTTTTATATATATAATATAATTTATTGTCAAATTGGTTTCCATACAACACCCAGTGCTCATCCCAACAGGTGCCCTCCTCAATACCCATCACCCACCCTCCCCTCCCTCCCACCCCCCCATCAACCCTCAGTTTGTTCTCAGTTTTTAAGAGTCTCTTATGGTTTGCCTCCCTCCCTCTCCGTAACTTTTTTTCCCCCTTCCCCTCCCCCATGGTCTTCTGTTAAGTTTCTCAGGATCCACATAAGAGTGAAAACCTATGGTATCTTTCTCTGCCTGACTTACTTCACTTAGCATAACACCCTCCAGTTCCATCCATGTTGCTGCAAATGGCCAGATTTCATTCTTTCTCATTACCAAGTAGTATTCCATTGTATATATAAACCACAATTTCTTTATCCATTCATCAGTTGATGGACATTTAGGCTCTTTCTATAATTTGGCTATTGTTGAAAGTGCTGCTGTAAACATTGGGGTACAATGCCTCTGTGCATCAGCACTCCTGTATCCCTTGGGTAAATTCCTAGCAGTGCTATTGCTGGGTCCTAGGGTAGGTCTATTTTTAATTTTGTGAGGAACCTCCACACTGTTTTCCAGAGCGACTGCACCAGTTTGCATTCCCACCAACAGTGCAAGAGGGCCGCCATTAAGACCCTGCTTTCATGGGGCACCTGGGTGGCTCAGCCAGGTGAGTGTCTGACTCTCGGTTTCTGCTCAGGTCATGATCCCAGGGTCAGGGGATCGAGCCTCATGTCAGACTCTGCACTGAGCGTGGAGCCTGCTTGGGATTCTCTTTCTCTCCCTCTACCCTTCTCTCTTGCTGTTGCTCACATTTTGTCTAAAAACAAAACAAAACAAACAAACAAAAAAAACAAAAACCAGGGAGAGAGAGAGAGAGAGACCCTGTTTTCAATTCTTTTAGAGACGCACCTGAAGAGGACATCAGCCCCGAGGCTGGTTATAGGGGCCTGTCCAGTCATCCCACTCACGAACCCAGCTCCTGCCAGCTCGGGGTCCTGGGAGCTGAACTGGCTCTAATCATGCCAGCTGTAGCGTGTGCCTCTCCTGGAGTCACTCAAGACTCCTGGTAACGAGGCTTAGTTGGACTTCTCCCTCCCGGCGGGTAGCCTCTTGTTAGAGCCACGCTCCCCAGAGGCCTGTCCCTGGTCTCATCCCGGCCGCCTCATTGTCCATCAAAAATCCATTCCAGGTGCTCAGAGCACCTCATGGGGGTTACAGAGAACAGCAGACCCAGGCCCTTGCACCTTGCCGCTTAGTGGGGGCACCAAGAGCCTTTGTGAGAAGGGAGGGAAGTGATGTCTAGTAAACAACCCAATTGTTGCTAGTGGCTCTACTTTATGTACTTGCAAACCACAGCTCAGAGAGGCTGAGCGATTTCCCCAGAGTCACACAGCAGGGAAGTGAAGGTATGGATCAGAGTCCAGGGCCCCTTGAGTCCAAAGCTCATGCTCTTCCCCTGGCCCCAAGCTGCCGAGTTTCCGGGGACTCAGAAAGGGTACATGGGTACTTGCTTCAGGGGTGGGGTAGGAGACGGATGCTGTCTGTCTCAAGGCAGATGCTCTCTGGTGTCTCAGAGGCCAGCTGGCTGTGGTGGGGCTTCCACTGGCCCCCAGGAGTAGGGCTGTTCTAACCACAGGAGCTGAGCTTGGCCTAGGCCCTGGGTCACCCCCAGGGACCTGTTCCCAACCGACAGCCTGCTTTTCTGTCCTGGTCAGCTATGGCCACCGTCATCACTCCCACAGTGGACCACTACTAAACTCCTCAAAGACAGGCACCAAGCTTTTAATGTGGCATTTCTTACACAAATATCTAGGGGCCTCCTCTAGGTGCCAGGCATTGCTTGGGGCACTGGGGATCAAGTGTGACAGGACAGGCAGGGTTCCTGACCTTGCAGGGATACAGTGAGTCTTACTGTGAAGAAGCCGTTAAAACTACCAAGTACAATCTGTTATTCGCCATTCATTCCCGCACCTCCGGCACACGGCTGAGTGTGCACCCCAGAGCTGAGGGGGTGAGTCTGGGTGGATACGGTTTCCAGAAGCACCTAAGCCAAAGCCCCACGGGCTGAACTCAGAGGCTGTGGAGCTCTCACAGAGCACCCACTCGGGCCGGGAAGTGGCAGCTGTGATTTAGAGCCCAATTTATTTGCCCACTCACTGGGATCGGGCTCCACAGGCACACGCACATAAAGCTGCTGAGAGGCTGTGATAGAAGCTAGAGAGAAAGCCTGGTGGGGCATTTTCCACTCTCACTCCCACCCATAATCTGCTGGATCGTGGTCCCCAGGCCGGCTTCCTCCTTGTCCCTTGCCTGCCCAGATGCATTAAGTCCTGTGTTGAGTTTCTCTCTCCTAACACCTTCCAGGCAGTTAGTCACCCCAATGTGAGTCCCATCCATGCGCCTGTAGCTCCCCTACCCTGAGGAGACCCGACGCCAGGTGCCAAAGGTCTCAGCCACGTCCAGGACCGACAAGAACTCCAGCTAGTTTCCCAGGTCCTGTCATCAGTGCCACCTTTGATGGGCTCTTATGCCCTTTCAGTAGGCAAGGATTTCTTACGAAGACACCGTCCCAAAGGTAAAACAACAAACAGCTAGATTTCACTATACTAACATTAAATACATCTAACACTAAAATTTTTTTTTAAAAGCCATAAAAGTGAAAGACAGAACAAACAGGGAGGTATTTCAGCCCAGAAACAGAGTGCTCAAAATATATACATAGAACCCTACAGCACAATAAGAAAAAAATACCCACCCAATTTTTAAAAAGGGCAAAATACATGAACAGGTGCTTCATAGAAGAGAAATCTAAAGGATCAATATACTAAAAAACCACACAACCTTACAAGTAAGCATGGAAATAAGAATTAAAAACCACAGTGAGATACTATTTAATACACGTCACATGAAAATGTAAAATTTCGATCTCGACCAGCTTGTGGGGCACAGAGAATCCTACAGTGTGCGGCGAGGTCACTGGGCATAGCCACTTGGGAGAACAATTTGATCTGATAAGCCTGAAGATACTCATGCTCGATGACCCAGGAATTCCACTCATGAGTATACTCAAGACAAAAAAAAAAAAAAAAGCATCAGGAGCAGTGGTTGAGAATCCTCACAGCAATATGGTTTGTAATGGCAAAAGAAAGAAAGAAAGAACGAAAGAAAGAAAGAAAGAAAGAAAGAAAGAAAGAAAAGAAAGGAAAAGAAAAGAAAAGAAAAAAGAAAAAAAATCTTGGAAATAACCCAAATACCCATTATTAGGAATATGGATTAAAAAAAAAAAGAATATGGATAAACGCATTGTGATAAATGCATACAGTGAAAAATGACTGATCGTTATATATCACAGCTATCCATATCAACATGGATAATTATCACTATCGAAGCTGAATTAATTACCAAATTTCTGATTTCAAGATTCATAAAACTAAAATACAAATAAATGCAAGGGAGTGATAAACATAAAGTTCAGGGTAGTGATTACTTCTTGGTTACCCCCTGGGACTTCATAAAGACCATTCCTGGGGTGCCTGGGTGGCTTAGTCGGTTGAGTGTCTGACTTTGGCTCAGGTCATGATCTCGCAGTTCGTGGGTTCGAACCCCATGTCGGGCTCTGTGCTGCCAGCTCAGAGCCTGGAGCCTGCTTCAGATACTGTGTTTCCCTCTCTCTCTGCCCCTTCCCCGCTCATACTCTGTACTCTCTGTCTCTCAAAAATGAATAAACGTTAAAAAAATTTTAATGTAAAGACCATTCCAATTGTACTCATGTTGTTTCATTTCTTAAGCTGGTGTGGTGGTAACCATGTGGATGCTTATTACATTACTCTTTTTTTTTTAAGAGAGAGAGAGAAAGTGAGTGGGGGAGAGGGAGAGAGAGAGAGAGAGAGAGAGAGAGAGAGAATCTTAGGCAGGCTCCACACTCAGCACAGAGCCCAACACAGAGCTCGATCCCACGACCCTGGGACCATGACCTGAGCCGAAATCAAGTCAGACACTCAGCCGACTGAGCCACCCAGGCGCCCCACGTTATTCTTTATATTTTAAATATATGTTTTCTATATTATTTTGTATGTATAAAATATTTCAAAAAATTTTTATATCATGTCATTCCATGTCTTGGCAGGATATAAAGTTACCATTCAAGAACCCATGAAACCTTCCCCATCACTGAGAGTTACGTGTCTACCAGCAGACATGGAGTCTGAGCATAAGCCTAGATGTCAGGCTGAGAAGGGGGTAGAAAACAGGACATTATGAGATTTACATCACTTGGAGGTCAAAGAGTGGGACGCGGGCACTGGCATTTTATAAAAAGCTCCCCAGGTGATTTGAATGTGTAGGCAGCGTTGAAAAATCACTGCCCTAGACCCTAATTTACATGCATAAAGGCCAGGGTGTTATTCTTTTGGTGGACCGCATCCTCAACAGCATATGGCAGATGCTGGAAGAAGGTACCTTGCATTCCTACCTGATCCAGAGCAGGAACTCCAGTAAATAGAATCCAATGGCATAGTCCCAAAACCAGTTGGCTGAAGAGGAGGGGGGCTGGGGAGAAGAATCTGTAATCAGTTCAGGGCCGGAGCTCAGCTGCTTTCTGACCTATTATCATAGTGTCCCCCTACAGGGAGATGTGTCCAAGAGTGGCTGCATGTGTGTGTAGAGGGGGTGACCCACCTGCCAGGACAATCGAAAGCCTCACTTCTTGGTGACCCAGCCAATTTGCATGCCCCACCCCTTTCGTTTCCTGCATATTTATGTCTTTAGGTATGTTTTTATTTTGCACAAGATGACGATGTGCATCCGTCCCTCCCCTTCTGAGCCCCGGAGGCAGGTGTCCAGCGATCACCATTTACAAACCCCATGCCAGCCCGTAACACACAGTAAGTGTCATCGCTTTTGCCTGACGTGGCCCATCAATGTTCATCCTAGTTGATGGTTTTGTGTTTTTCTGCTGAGAAGCAGCTCATTGGCTAAGGACGTGGGGGAGACACAAAACTGTTGCTTTCCTCACCTGTCCAGGTGGGGGTGGGCAAGACAGGGGCGTTGGAGGGAAGGTGGAGGTGGTCCGAGGGATAGCCCAGCTGCCTGGTACTCTACCTTATCCTAGCCTGGCCTCCCCACACCTCTGCTCCCCTCTCCCGCATCTAGGCTGTCCCCTGACCTCACTCCCGCACATCCCTACCTGTGGTCACATTAGACCCTTACTGGGCCAACTCTCCTTCCTCCTTCCACCCTGCTGCCTCGCCTGCTTCTGTCCTCACACTCAGTGATGCCCACCTTCCTTTTCCCTCTCACGCCTCACTGACCACCCGGGACAAGGACAAAGGTCCGCCACCCTGGGGACTACAGGCTGTGCGTGAGGACGGGACTGATGCTGTCGCTACCTTGTTGGTGTGGTCCTGGTAGATGACGCTGACGTTCTCGCTGTGCGGGAACCAGAGGAAGCGGAAGTATTCGGATTTCTTCAGGTGGCTGTCCAGGTTGTCGAGAACCTGACCTCGGCAGAAGGCAAAGGGAAAGACGGCGTGGGTCCAGGCTGATGGTGGGAAAGTACTGGAAGTCAGGGCCTGCGGGTGCCTCAGTTTCTCCCCAGCAAGAGAAAATACTTAAAATTGTCCTAGCGTCGTCAAATGGCATGGAATGTGGCTTGTAATAGGCTGGACATCAGTGGTCCTTTTGCATGGTGACTTCCCCCAACAGCTTAGAGGATAGAGATGGTTTATTTGTCCCAGCTTGAACAATTCCTAGCGGTATGAGTTTGAGTAAGGTACCTGACACCTCTGTGCCTCAGTTTCCTCATCCGTAAACGAGGACTAATAATAGTACCCCTGTCAGGACTGGCATGAAGATAAAATGCGCTAATGCCTAGAAAGTGCTCACGATGGTGTCACGAACATGGTAGGCACCGCATAGGCGTAAGCTGTTGCTGCTATTATTACCCTTCCATTGTCATTCACTGTCACCATCATCGTCCTTTATCTCCATACTGCCTAATACATCACAGGTCCTTAAGGAAGTGAACAGGAGAAGGGCGCCTGGGTGGCTCAGTCGGTTGAGCGTCCGACTTCGGCTCAGGTCATGATCTCACAGTCCGTGAGCTCGAGCTCCGCGTCGGGCCCTGTGCTGACAGCTCAGAGCCTGGAGCCTGTTTCAGATTCTGTGTCTCCCTCTGTCTCTGCCCCTCCCCTGCTCATGCTCTGTGTCTCTCTGTCTCATAAATAAATAAAAACATTAAAAAAAAAAAAAAGAAATGAACAGGAGAATCTTGCTCTAATATGGCTCATTATTGCACTCCTAGAGATGAGATCACGGGGCAAATCATGTCTCCCTAAAACCTATCGAGCGGATACAGGACAATTCCTGAGCCAAAGGGTAGACAGATTTGGTATTTGATGGGAAGCTGGGGGTTGGGGAAAAGCACCACTGGTCTTGGGGTGAGTTCCGGGTTCAAGTCCTGGTCTGCAGCTTACCAAGCTGCATGACCTAGGAGGAGCCATGTACCTGAGCTTTGGTCTTCCCGTCAATAACATGTGGGCACTGGTGCAATGAAATAGATAATCTACATCAAAGCTCCCAGGATAGTGACTGTCATGTGGCATGTGCTCGAAGAACAGTTTTGGTTCTGGATTTGACCAATGCTAGCACACACACATCTAGTGTTCCTGTCCTATCCCCCCGAAGTCCTTAGCCGTGACTTCCAGAAAGCCCTTTGAGGCCTCTGGGTAGCATCTCTCCATCTGTAGAATGAAGACAGTAATACCCCTTCCTTCCTTCCTTCCTTCCTTCCTTCCTTCCTTCCTTCCAGGGCTGTTGTGAGGAGCAGGGGAAATCAGGGGTTTGAAAGCACTGTAAACTCAACATGTGAGGGAGGGAGCAGGAAAGACGGAGGAAAAACAACAATAACACAGCAGCTTACTGACCAAATGCACTATGGGGAATTGGGCACCCAGCAGAGAAAAATGGCCGGATCCAATCACGGGTCAAGACAGTGTCCAAAGAGGTTGGTACGCTCGAGGGAGAACAGCCATTTCCACCGTCTGGCCAGGAAGGGAGGTGAAGCCAACATGAAGCACTGAGATGAGCCCCTCTAGAACTTACATGTGGGGTGTCTGAGAGCAGCGGGACTTTGGAATTCTGGGTCTCTGCCACGACTGTCGGGGAGGCCCCCTGACCAGCTCACCAGGGAATGGTGTAGCCGGGGACATGGAGACTGGTGGATGATTGTTGCATTCCAGTGATCTGCCTGTCGTCCTCCCCCTCTCCCACCCCACCCCAATCTGTTGGTCACCCTGTTGTACTTCTGCAAATGCCTCCCCAGTCTTCTCCTGAGACCCATTGCTGCTGCTGTGAGATAGTCCACACCCTTCTTACCCATCATCCGTACTCCTGCATTCGCCTCATAATATGCCCCCTTTCTCATCTCTCCAGACAACTTCTACAGAGCATATGCAAAACACAGCTCAGAAATCCCCAGCAGCTCTCTACTGCCTAAAGAATAAAGCTCACACCACTTAGTTCAGCATCCGGGACCTCCGTCCACAAACACTGTCTGATATGGCAGCCCCTGTCCACAAGTGGCCATTGAGCACCTGAAAAGTGACTTATCCGAACTGAGATGGATGTAACTTAAATGCTCCTCATAAAGCCATCTCCTCCCCTTCTAAGTGGCTTCTAATTATATTGCATCCATCCCAGAATGACACTGCAGCTCTTGAAGCATCCGTCTCTGAAATTGGTCAATAGTCTCTTATGGGTCAGGGACTATCTCGTCCATCTTTGGTCCCTGCCAGCACAGAGATCAGCAAAATTTTTCTGTAAAGAACGAGGCAATAAATATTTTAGACTTTTGGGGCCCTATGGTCTCTGTTGCAACTATTTAACTCTGCCACGGTAGCATGAAAGCAGCCATAGACAATACATTAGCAATGAGCGTGGCTGTGTGCTAATAAAACTTTATTTACAAAAACAGGCAGTGAGCCAGAGTCTGCCTGCAGGCTCTAGTTTCCCAACCCCTTGCCTTAGAGCTGCTGGCACAATGCCTTGTACAGAGAATGCCGGAGGACACTATCATTCCTTACTTGAAGAGAAAGGCCTTTCGTGCCATGCTGGAGGCTCAGGAAAGGTTGAGGAAGAAACTCCAGAGCCCCTATCACTATCACTTCCATCCTGACAGGGCAATGGACCCATGGTCCACAGGACTGTCCTGTGGGAAGCCTCTGGGCAGAGCTGACGTTCCCCTGGGAGAGCCAGGAATACAGCCTGGTGACTTGGCCTGGAGGGTGGGGCTGGGACACTGGAAAGGAGAAAACCCCCATCTCCTCACGTTTAGCATCCTGGGCCATCCCACTCTATTGCCCAGAATCCAGCAGCAAATATAATGGCGCCCTTCTCAGCTCTAAGAGGTTTATGTCCAGCCTTCTTTTACCTAGAATGGAGTGACGAGAGTCACGAGAGTCACCCCATTACATTTTGTGCCTCTGTCCTGACACTGGTCATTCTTTTCCTCCCACAGTAAAGAAACAAGGCATGTCTCCCCCCGCCACCACCACACACACAAAATTATAAGCTTCTAGAGGCATGAACTATGCACGATTGAGCTCTGGACTCTCCGTTACCCCTAACTTAGCACCAGGTTGGCCGCTGGATGGTGGAACAACCTTGGGCCCCACCCCACTGTGGATTAAACTCTCTCCTTCAGCACCCACAAACCACCCTAACTGGAGGAGGACTGTTCCTAGGATCCTTGATATGACTTGTGTCTCCTGGGAGCACCGTCATAGACCTTTGGGTCCCAGAGGAGTCTCTTCCTTGACACATTACTGGCATGAAGGGTTCTGGCAAGTTCTGTCCCTCCAGATTTAGTCCTTGTGGCACTGCTGAGTTGGCTCCCAGGAAATGGCTCTCAGGCTTGTGAGCAGAGGGTTTCCAGTGTGATAGCCGGGGATTACCTGGCATCAGCTGACGGCCACCCCAGACAGTGGTCAGCATCTGGAAGCTGCAGCAGGTTCCAGATGCTGACCACGACGGTGACACACTGGGACCAATACTGCTTCCTGGGGCGCTGCAGGAGGGCTGAGGCAACAGCCAGCTGCACTCATCACATCTCATTATAGTTTGGGTGACATAAAGGGCAAAAGGTTGACAATAATTTCTAAAGTCTTCATGCCTTCTAACCGGTTGTGATTCCATGCTGACCCAGCTGCAAGAGTCAGAAATGCTGAGACTTTGTCGAAAAGCTGTGAGGGTGGCCTCTTTCTAGGCACCACAAAACTGGACAAGACTTCTTTCCAGCTCTAGAAACTGGATTCAGTTCTAGAGCTGGATTCCAGTTCTAGAAACGCTGATTCCAACTCTCCCTGGGGTCCGGCAATGACTCCTTCCCCTCATGTGGCTTTGAACAGCCTTCAGAAATCATGCGGTGATGTATTTAAGAGAATCAGTAATGGGAAGCACAGACTTGACAGACCACCGCACAGCACAGGTGGGAGGAGTTGGTGAAAATCCCAGAAAAAGGTGGATTTTTAATACATTGCCGATCAACCGACCTTGAGTAACCTTGTATTGAACACTCCCATGTGTTCTGTGGATGCTGGGGAGCCAGAGACTTCAGATAAAATCCCTGCCCTCCAGAATGCTAATCATCGAGTAGCAAAAGGGAGGGGGACCGTTTCAAGAGACGGTGGCAAATGGTCATGAGCAAAACAGAGTAACCAGCACCTGTCACCTGGAAAGTCAAGCAGTGACTCAGATTCTGGGATCTACTCACAGAGCAGGTGTCAGGAGGTAGCATTCTCTAGAAATAAAGCCAGTGGGGGTTCCTCTCACTAAGGCCATTAAGAAAGCAAGGGCAGAGCGTTCACCTGCTGTGTTGCCTTGAGTCCTGGCAACAATCCCATGGGGCCAGTCAAGCTCTTATCCTCACCACACACTCAAGGAATCCAAGCTCAGGTGAGTGAGGAGATTTGTCCAAACTCATAGAAGGCCAGTGAAGAAACCGGGCTTCAAACCTGGTGGTCTGACTTGGGAGATATGTTCCAGCTTCTACACCACACCCCTCGTGATGGGTCCGCTTGGGTTCTGTTCCCAAGTTCAGGGCTGGAAGGCCCATGATGGGAATATCATAAACACGTGCCACAGAGAAGGCAGGATATAGGAAAGGAAAGAGGAGAAAAGGAAAAGGAAAGAAATGTAAGGGAAGGAAAAATGGTGGCCCCACTAGCTTTTCACACCTAACTTTATGTGCAAGAAGCAATTGTCCTCCTTTGTCCTGGCTTCCTAACTCTCACTTCTCGAATGCTCCTCGGGAGCCCAGGATCGGCCAACCTGGAGGGCGTGGCCATCAGGGAAAAGCCCATGCCCAGAGAGGACACGATGCTGGGGAGCTGTGTGCAGGCCCGATGTAGACGCAAACACTCAGGGCAGCACGGTTTGCACCCCCAGGGGAGGTGGGGCAACTTGCTATGAACCCAAATGGTAAGAAGCCAGGAGCAGG